TTGCTGTGGAATCTGAGAGGGGGATTTTCTTGATTTGACCTGTTATTTCCTCTTTTTGTTTGCCTTCAACATGGTCTCCATCACTTCAGTCATGCATTCTTTTATACTTCAGTTATTATCCAGTGGAATGCCCTTACCTACTGGCCTAGTTAAATCAAAGTGGTTACTTTTGTTTGGCTGGGCAGTGTAGTTTTACACACCGTCTTATTTGACTTTCTCAGGACTTAAAACTGTTTTTTGGCGGCAGACCCCCTCAAAGAAAAAAATATATTTACACACGTAAGGTCATCATCTTAATAGTTGTGTATGCTCATCCGTGAGCAGAGCATCAAGTTGACATGTCTATTACAGCTGAATGCGGCGATTACCAATTTGTTCAGCAAAACGCATCACAAACGTATTAAGATCAACAGCTTTAGTGCGTTTTGATTCAATGCTGAGTACAGTCAAACTGACTGTCTCTTCTCTGTCATTGTAGACCGCAAATACCTCATTCCTTCAGTACTTGGGTCAGAATGCTTCTCGTTTTGCACCGTCCCGTTCAAATGAAATCGCCTCCAATCATATGTCCACGCTCGCGCCAGGGCCGGGGGAGGGGTTACATGACGTGCATCTTGTGCTGCATTCACTTGCACTCGGACATTAGAGACTTTCTCTCATAAATGTCCGATGAGCCACAACTTTTCTTTCAAAACAAAGCTGCCAACTGGGGTGGCAGCTGGGGTGGCAAGGCCTATTTTTAGGGTGTCAGTTGGCACCCCGGTAGGTGAAACTAGGCTACTAGCTACAGTACAGATGGAACTAAATGAGCTGTTAACTCTCGCTCTGAATTATTTTTTAAAAAACTCTCGCTCTGATGGAGCGTCCACACTACAGCTTCAAAAAAAGCTTGGAGCTGGGCGTGTCTGAAGCTTGGGGATTTTATTCAAGCAACGCGACCAACAACCAATCACATGAATCTCCCGCCCCCGACATACAAAGCAAAAACCCCCGGGGATTTTATGGGAGCAATATATATATATAAACTCCCCAAACAGGCGAAAACCTACCAGTTTCACCCACTGTCTCTGCCACCTCCCTCCATGCCTGGTTCCTCCGGTTTGTATCCGGGTAGGTGAAGAGGGTCTGGTCATACAAAACCGGGTGATTTGCTACGGCGATAATTAGTTTCTCCTCCATCTTTTTTTGAAATATAGAAATGAACGGCGGGATATCTCTCCCACCTTAGACGCGGTTTGATTGGCTACGGCTTGAGCTGTCAGATTTTCCGAAACGGGATTTGATTGGCTGGCGCTGGCTACTCCGGCGGAGACGGACCGCTATGCTACCCACAATTCAGTTCGGCGAAAAAGCGAGGCAACGTGACGTCACCCCATTCAAAGTGAATGGGCAGATTGAAGCTGTCGACGCTGTAGTGTGGACGGGCCGTGACTCAGACAGGTTGAAAGAGACGAGACACACATTTTTCCCACCCGCATTCCGCGAAGACCCGCCCTACTGTGCCTCTGATTCGCAGATTGTTTGGGGGGAAAAAACGCTGACGGAATGCTGAATGTGATTGGACCAATGCGTTGACAGACACACACAGACAGTGGAACAGGACATGCAGAGCGCTGTTTGCAGTCTATGGACATAGCGGATCATTTTGACTCGTTGTGGCGATGTCTCGCAGATAACACAGATAATACAGATAATACATATGAAAAGTATAATTTGCTCAGAGTCCAGAGACCGTTGTGGTTCGGTCCGGATCCGGACCGGAGTCCGGACTTTGAGGATGCCTGCCCTAGAGCGTTGCGTATGCCGTTCTATCCACCTTGGGACCCGTTATCGTTACCCTAGTCGTTTAGTGACATATTCGGTCGTCCTCGTGTGGCCGAACTATATGACACTAAACAGTAACGCAAACGACCGTTTTCGTCCTCGTGTGGCCGGGGCCTTCAACTGGAGCTTGTTTTGTGTACAGGAGGAGGCTAAGTGTTTTGCCTGTTCCTGATTTAAAAAAGTTAAAAGTATTCCTAAAATGTTGAAAGCCCATTAGGCGCATTCACACTGCGGTACTTTTCCCACAAAGGTTCATGTGAACTCTTTTATCGCGTTCACACCAAAAAGAGCCGGTACTAAAATTAGTTCATGTGAACCTTTTTACCCCCACGAAAGTCCCTGCTAGAGAGCAGGGACTTTCGTGCGGCTCTCTTGTGAGAAAAGAGCTATATTTCTGATTGGCTGGGCGGATTGCAAACCACGCCCAGTAAAACTCCCAAAAAGTTTTGTGAAGCCGCCATTTTATTATCCTCGCATTAGCATTATTAGCATTAGCATTAGCCCAGCGCAGAAACGCAGAGAGACTAACTTATGGCAACACAAAATAAAACATGGGAGCGGTGGAGATGAGGAGGTGTCGGCGTTCTGGCGATTTACTCGGAAGGCTTCAGTAGAAGCTGCTGGGAGTCCCAGCAGCTTCTACTGAAGCCAGTCCCCAACTCCGGGGACTTCCGGCCGGGGACTTTGGGCGGCAGTATACGCCGTGAAGTGCCAGTAAACCCAAAGCCTGCCAGTAAACCCAAAGCAGAAGAAGAACAAGTGACGTCAGCGGCTCATTTGCCTAATCCACCCCCAGGGACTTTTTCCTTCATTGAAGCTAAGGCTAGCACTAGCACTAGCAATAAAAAGTCTGCAAACTGTTGCCTTGGATACAGGGTCGGCGTCATGGGGGGTCATTCGCGGGCCATGCCCCCCCAAATGAGTCACTGTGCCCCCCCAACGCAGGGTGGGCAAGCCTTGTCACTTTGCCGATTTTTTCTTTTTTTTATCATATAAGTGAAAACGTTTCCACTAAAGGTTTTTTGTGTGAAATACATCAGAAATAAATAATACAAATATAAAACACAGCCTGAGGTGTGCTCACTGCTGCTCTCTGATTGGTGTGTTGCTTGACCAATGACCCCCGACCTTTTTTTTGTTATCATTACGTGGCTGTGTGTTCAGATGAGAGCCCGGTGGCGATCTGTTCGTCTGTTACACTGATTATACAGTAAAGCCATCGAAAATAATATGATATACAGTACAAGTACATGGGTCTCTGTGTTTCATTCAAGCTCTGTGTGTGTGTGGCACGAGCGCATTTTGTGAGTGCGCGAGCGGTAACGTGGAATGTTGTGGTTAGCATCTGGTTAGCTAGCTATGCTAACGGATATAAAGGGCTGTTTCTACACCAAGGTGGAGGACAGTCCTCTCCTGTCAGACTGAGAGGATCTTATAACGTCAGCTCAGTGAGGTAAGGACTCTCTCAGTGTTTAGATAGTTCACTTTAGTGTAGGTTATCTCAGTGGGTCTCAAACGGTTTGGTCACCATTTATGTAAGTATTTTCGAGGAACACCTTTATATGATCATTATAGTTATTAAAGAGAGAATAAATGAAAAACGGGTATGAAATACTATAGGACAGTAACACAAGAATACAGTTTAAAAGGGGAATGATTAGTGAAATATCCATAAAGAAAAAGTAAATCTGTGTACAGTTCTGTTTCATATGAATGCTGAGAGATGTAGGCTATCCATAGATCTCTTCATTTTGCTCTCAAAGTGCACCAGATTGATGCATTTAACTTCAATATTTTAAAAATAATCTTCCCGGGGGAGCATGCCCCCAGACCCTCTGGTTAGGTCCACCCCCACCTAAAACATGTTCACATGGATAGGATACTAAATACATTTGCACACTTTTTATATGGTGGCCTATGTCCATATCAAATCAAATCAAGTTTTATTTATATAGCACATTTTTCAACGATTTTTGGTCGAGCCAAAGTGCTGTACATATAATTAAAAAAATAACCTACAGTAAAGACACTTTACAGCAAATACAACAGCACAGTTTGTGCAGAATATCAGTATGAGAAAACGACACCCTCTGTCCTTATATGTTTCTGTTTTGGTGGTCGTGCCACAACCGTGCATGTATGCACAAGTCATAGGTGCACTATACAATAGCACTACACCCTGCAATGTGTGTGAAAGACAATAGACTTTACAGCATGTTTTTTTAAATTGAAGTTGGTGTTTGTGTGTTGGTTGTTGACGGCAGTGTGTGCCCCCCCTTGGTAAATGATTTCCCCCCCATTCAAGTTGTTCTAGAGCCGACCCTGCTTGGATATACTTTAGCAGGGTTCAACCCTTTTGAACAACGTATATTTAACGGGGATTATTTGACTGACATTGCAATTGCGATATGATTCGTTTAATTTTTACATCGGTATTCTATTTTTCCTAGAAAAATATATTTAAATAATGGCGATTCTTTTTTTTGTTGCACAAATATGAATGTAAAAATAATGGTTTTATTAAGTTTGTATGAGACAAGGACGTTGCTGCAGCACTACAATATTGTTTACATACATGTTGACACATATTGCACCTTTAACACATATTGCATCTTATTTGATCTGGATATTGCACTCATATTGGGATTTCAATAGGATCATAATAACCTTTTCAGCCCTTGTCTTATGTGTGAGTTTGATATTGTTGCTAATCAGATGTGCTAACAAAACAGTTATGGCACTTTATGACCTATAGCCCCATATATTGAGGTGGAGTCAAACAACTTTGAAACCAACAACCTTCTTTTCTCTTTCTCTTGCCCCAATGTTTCTTTCCATGTAAACAAATTGCTCAAAAGCTTAGAGTGAAAGCTGGATAAATATAAATGTGAAACGTATGCATTCCTTTATTGTAAGATTTGATATTTCATGTTAAATGTATCCTGGGAGACCCTGGACAAATGCAAATAAATTAATTCTCTTGAGGAACATTGTGGAGAGCAAGTTCTGTTTGGTTATTTAATGAAGCAAAAATCACAAAAAGCGGACATTATATTTGTGTGTTTTCCCAAAACGCCGCAACGGTTGATGCCTCCATGAATAAGATGTCAAAATACAAGATGAACTTGATTTATATTTACTGTCATTTCATCATCTGTCTCCTCTTGTTGATCCAGGTGGAACACTCCTTCAGCTACCTGGATATCCAGGGAATCAGCAGCAACAAACCCACTCAGGTACACACGCAAAGAAACAATAATGCAACGCTTATTGTGCATTACATTCATGTCATACAAACATTCCTTACAACACCTGAGCAGCAGCTTAAAAGTTGCACACATAAACACACCCAGATGCACTAACATCTTTCAACACGGTCTGTTTGAGAAAGGATAAGAAAGGATATTAAACACTGATTTATTGGATACATTCTTTCAAAACAGATCAAATCAATAAGGATCATTTGTTGACTACACTCACCTGCTCAGTGTAATTCATAGTAACCAAATAAAAATGAATGACATTTTCATTTTCTGGTATTGTATCTATTTAAATGGCTTTGTTAACCTTCAGACTTGAAATATTAATATTATTTAGTTAATATTTATATACGTGCCCAACTTATCTTTCATGATGTTTGTAGTTACTATGCCATCATTTTTGCCAACAAACATTGAAATTTAAAGACTCAAGGAGGACTGTTTTCTTTATAAGCTATGCTCTCATCTGACTCACTTACTACAACAGATTTGGTCAATTGTCTTTATAAATGTGTTGATTTAAAAGCATGGGTGCTTTTTTATCACCTCAACATCATTTGGAGTCGTTACATGATGTAGCTTTGTGGTTGTCGCCCCCTGCAGCTGGTGTTGGAGTATGAGCGCGGGCCGTGGAGCATGCGGCTGAGCTCGGTGGACGAGGTGGACGAGGTGATCGCTCACATCGGCTGCTGCCTGCACCGCATCCGCCCCGCCTGCTCACCTGTGTAGGTACCACCCTGAGGATCGGTGAGAAGGGAGAGACAGGGAGCCCTTCAGAAGATCGAACAGGAAGCAAACTGTTCAAACACTTCAAATCTTTATTCAGAGATTCTGTCGAGTTGAAGATGAATGACTAAATGAATGTCTAATACCTATACTAATAGTTACTCAATAGGAATGACAACACTAGAGATTTAAGTGAATCTATAATAAACGTTGGAGAAAGAAAGAAGTGTGAGGAGGACTAGTTTAAAAATAATCATACTTTAGAGGAATTTATAGAACAGTTTTAGTGAGAAACATGTGGCGCACTTAACACGTTTGAAAGACATGTAACAATAGTATTTTGGTGGCAGTGTGGTACATTATAATCAAATTGTAACTTTTGAAACTTTTGATTTAATACATTATGTGCTAGAAGTGAGTTAGTTAAAATGGTAGCTTTGCTTGAACACAGAAGGTGGACGAAGATTATTTACCGTAATCGTAGTTGTAATTATTTACAAACCTTAAATACATTTCAATTTAAATAGAAAAAACGAATATGTCAGTGATTTTCCAGATACATTCCTACTTCAGTAGACGAATAAATGAGTGCATCAACAAAACATTCATCTGAAACAATTTAAAAAAACGAATTAGCCATTATAATCGTTTTATATTTATGCAGACAATTGAGTAGTTCCTACCCCTCAAATGTGAGGATTGGCAAATGAAAGTGTGTAGGGAGTGAGTTGTCTTCTGGTTCCCTGCTTCTCTTCTCACTTTGTCTGTGAAAGTTGTGGGACTCAAATGACAATCATTTTAAATGTTCATCAAGTTTATGAATGATTGATTGTCTTTTTCCTCCCCCTCCTCCTGCCTCTCTGTAAGGAAGCAAGGTGATGAAGAAGCTGAGTCTGAAGCCTCCTGAGAGGACGGCGTCTCTCCAGGCCCTCTGGGACGAGCAGAGCTCTGCAGACCTGGGGCCCTGCGGTACATCTGCCTCAAAATGTCCAAAACATATCCAGACCAATAAAAGTGTATCAACGTGTGACCGTTTTTATTTCCTCATGTTACAGGCGGGTTTTCTCATCAGTACTGGTGTGTGTGTGATTACCTGGGTCTGCCGTACAGAGAGGAGGTCCAATGGGTCAGTGACTGAGAGTCAATCTGCTTCTGTCTCACATTTCTGTTGTTGTCTTCATTAACTCAACTCTATTTCCTGTTTTAGTAATATGTATCACCTGCAGTGGTTAGACACCTGGTGCTCCTACCTTAGTCTTCTGCCACTACTTCTTTGTCTCCTGAATGTATTCTTGTTTTTCGTCTGCTTAATATTAGTGTCATTGTGCGGGCTGTTGCTTCCTCTATTGTTATAATTTTGCTTCTTGTTCTTTTTCTACTTTCCCGTGTGTACCTCAACACACCATAGTAAAGCTATTCCCTTTCCTCTTCCATACCCCCCCCAGGATGTGGACACCATCTATCTCACTCAGGACACCAAAGAGCTCAACCTGCAGGACTTCATTCACCTTGAGAACAGGTTTGTACACTGCTCAGCACCTGTGAGAAATGTGTGTGAATATGCATCCAAATTCAAACAGTTTACCAAAGTTAAGTTACACTGATGAGAAATATGTTGACACCAGGCTTTAGAATATGTGTGATTTTTACCAAAATCGTAACAATATATTCTATTGAATGTTCAACTGTGAACATTTAGTTTGGGGTTCTGGATGGAAGGGTCCCCAGATATTTAATGCAGGTATTCTGTTGGGTGAAATACTTATTGTTAGAGCTCAATCAAATCAGAATGTAATTTTTCTTTCGACACAAACCATTATAAGGAGGCACAACATGAAATGGGACAAATTAGCTCGAACAAAGAGTGGGTATATATGGAACAATAAATAAGGTCTGTGTGTTTTTGGTTCTTTAGTGGACAGGACTGTTGACTAGGTTATTTGATTAACTTATTAACAGTTTTGTCTTGTTATTTATTCATTTTTATTTAATTGTGTTTTTGTACATGAGCTCTAGTCACATCATCAATGTACTCCCAATATCTCTATTCACTCACAAAATTAGCAATATCACTATTATCAGCAGCTGCAGTATATATTTAAGTTATTTCTTGTAATTTTTCCCTGCAGGGATCTGGTGGCGATCATCGCAGCTCTGGAGTACAACCAGTGGTTCACTAAAGTCTCCGCCAAAGACTGCAAACTGGTAACATTCATACAATCAACTGCATACATGTCTGTCTGATTCCTATGTCAAATAATCAAATGAAATAGAAAGAAGCCAAATTGTCTGTAGACATCACGTTTGTGCCTTTTAACTAAAAAACTAACGTGTGTTTCTCTGCCCTCCAGTCGACAGATATATGTGAGCAGATCTTGAGGGTGGTGGCTCGGTCCAGCCGGCTGGAAGAGCTGGTGCTGGACAACACTGGACTCAGAAGGTCAGAGGTCAAATAATAGAAGCTTTGTCCTGGTCATGGTTTGTGCTTAAATCTATGACTTAGTCAACTTAACAGTACATACAAACTCTAAATTGTTCTTCTGTAAAGTAAGAGTAAATAAGCAGACTGTGCCCAGGACCAAAGTCCATTCTGGATATCAAATGTATGTTTGCTAGTTTGTTGATTGTGCCTGATGTAAGGTGAGAGGTTATCACATTTCACACCATTCATTCTTGCCAAACCGGAGCACTCATTGTGTCATTCTGTTCCTTCTCTTTCTCCTCTTCAGTGATTTTGCTCAGAAACTGGCCAGCGCTCTGTCCCACAACCCCGCCTCCACGCTGCAGACACTCAACCTGAGCAACAACTCCCTGGAGGACAAAGGTTCAAACGTGTGCTCACACACACACATCCTGCACGCTGGATTCATTGTATTATTGACATGCTTACAGTATATAGGTCACATACTGTATGTGTCCTTGTTTTAAAATAAATACGGAGGAGATATATTTATCTAGATATGGCACATTAGATTTGTGTATTTTTAATTGTTTCCAACATATTTGCTATAAAGGTACCTTGCTTTTGCTTTGCTTTTTTGAAACGTTCAGTCTTTCAAAGGGCTCCCAGGTGTTGTGATTAGGGATGCCAGCGATTATTCGATTTTTTGAATATTCGTTACAGTCTCCATAATCAAAAATTATTTTTAAAATTCGATTTTATTTATATATTTTTGTATTATTATTTATGTTTTTCTTTTTTTTCCTGGCTTAGTTTCAACCAAAATATAGACTAATGCTAATAATAGTAATGGTATTAATAATCGTAAATGGCCATTGGTCACACCACCAGTTTGTTTTACTGTAAACTTGGAGGATGCCAGCAGCGCAGGCTGCGCTGCTACACACCGACCCCCCCCCTCTCCGTCACACGTGCGATTGATTTATTGGCGATATACAGAACAGTGAGAACAACACAACTAAAGATGAACAAAGCGGTACGTTCTTCGAACTGACAAGTGCAAATGAAGTAAAATGCGAATAATCGATTAATATTCGCCAGAGCTGTCCGATTTTCGTATTTGATCATGGTCAGTTTCTGGCATCCCTAGTTATGATGCGCCCCCTTGTGGCTATATTGGATGCTCTACTGACAGAATGTGTTACTCTCTGCAGGTGTTGCTGCTCTCAGTGCTCAAATTGCCAAACTGCCCATGGGCCTGAAGCACCTGAACCTCTCCAGGACCTCCATGTCTCATAAAGGCGAGCAGGAGAAACAAACATGAAGTCATATTTGATTATTGTCCTGAATGAAAGTTTCAGGAGACTATATTTGTCATTTCCTGCAGGTGTGAGCAGCCTCTGTCAGGCTCTCTGTGCCAACCCTGCAGTGTCCGCCGCCCTCACACACCTGGACCTGTCGGGGAACTCGCTCAGAGGAGATGACCTGCAGGTACAGCGATACCTCCTCTGCTTCTATCACACTAACCTTTAAGATGATTTATGCAACCCCACAGTTTGTTTTACTTTATCTAAAAACGTTGGACTTAATTGGAGATGGACAAGCTCCAAAGGAAGACAGTTTTTTAGGACATCTGATGTTTTTAAATGAATGCATTGATCTGTTAAGATGTCTTGTGTATTTATTTTCTGCACAGAACCTGCACAGCTTCCTGAATAACCCAAACTGCCTGGAGACTCTGGATCTGTCTAACAGTGACTGCCCTCTGGATCAGGTATAATCAGGCCATACACAAACTAACGTTTTTATCATTTATTAATTGTATTGAGTTCATATAATAAACAGAAACATTTCAAGCTAACATTTACTAAATTCACTTTGAACTAAACTGGTCCCAATAAATTTATTTAATCAGTCTAAGCATTGGTTTAAAATAGGTAAGATATAATAAGTAGAAAATACATTCAAAGGGAAATGGTATAGATATACTGTATGCACTTCCAAGTAAGGTGAACGTGTGTACACTTTCCCACCCATGTTTGGAATACAAAATGTTTTCACTTTGTGCTCAAGTGTAGTTTTGTGTTTCTAGGTGTGTGCGTCTCTGCTCGGAGGCTGCCTGAAGCATCTCTCTGTGCTCAACATGTCAAAGTCAGTCTTCTCTCACAGGTCAGATATTAGACTCGCCCTTCTATCAGCACACAATTCTATTTCTATCAAGTTCAGACCACATTATACACTTTGACTTTGGACCGGATTGGCAGATTGCTCCAACATAACACTGTTCAACAAATACTACATTAGTTTAAATGCACATGTTCCTGTTTGAGATTTACTCTACTTGTATTTTGCTCTGATTGTTTGACTGCTCTGTACAGTGTTGTTTTAACTCGTATGTCCCCCCATCCACACAGGAAGATTAAAGAGATCCCTTCGTCCTTCAAGCAGTTCTTCAGCAGCGCTCTGGCTCTGAGCTCAGTCAGTCTGTCAGGAACCAGGCTGCCTCTGGAGGCTCTGAAGTAAGAAAACACCCCTGAAACTTGAAGACCCACAGCAATACATGTTTCATTTTGTGCAGTCCAAAATTAAATCAGTTACGGCCCGTCCACACGGCGGCATGCGTTGAAGCCCATTCACTTTGAATGGGGTGACGTCACACTTTGCCGAACTGCATTGTGGTTCCGTCGCTTCGCTCGCGTTACTCGCTTCAAAAGTTGAGCAATGTTCAACTTTTGAAGCTTCGTCAGCCAATCAAATCATATGCCAGTACAAGCTCTATCCAATCAAACCGCGTGCTTGTGTGTCCGGGGCGGGAGATTCATGTGATTGGTTGTTGGTCGAGTTTCAGACACGCCCACCGGCAAGCTTCAACGCACGCTGCCGTGTGGACGCTGCGTCAGAGTTATGGATAGCTACAAAGTTGTCCGTGTGGTGAGAAGAGAAAATGTGCAATGACAGGAACAACTATTTTCTACTGTTTTAGTAATCCAAAATATAACATATTAAGATTAAGCAATGATACCACTTTCTGAAAGCTACTGTTAACTGATAAGTCTTGGGTTTTTGTCCGCAGAGCGTTGTTATTGGGGCTCGGCTGCAACCCAAACCTTAGCGACGTGTCTCTGGATCTCAGCTGCTGTGAGGTAAAACTAACCCTAAACACACTGTTTAAAAATGTGCAATCATAAAAGACACTCATAGATCCTAAAAAAAAGAGGACATACTATTTATATTTTTGTAGGTTTATATTTGTTTTTGTGCCATGTTCAAAAAGCTCTTTATTGTTCTCATACTGCCTGTGCTGCAGCACCTCTTTTCACCCTCTGTCTGAAACCAGAGCCCAGTCTGCTCTGATTGGTTAGCTGGCTGGCTCTGTTGTGATTGGTCAACCACTTAGAGCTGCCCTTAGCCTACAATGTGTTGGAGCACTAGCCAATAGAATCGCAAATGTTACATAGCGTTTCAGGCAAGGGGGGAGTGGTGTGGGAGGAAAGGGAAAACCCCAAAAAGCAGAATAGGGCCTCTTCATCTAGTTTTTGTTTATTTAAATTGTACACTCTTTTCCTCTCAGCTGCGTTCAGGAGGCTCCCAGATCCTGGAGGGCTGTGTGGCAGAGATTCCCAACATCTCCAGTCTGGATATTTCTGACAACGGTGAGGACATGTTATGTTTGAAACAGTTATGATGCCGCTGTATTTACTTTGATGGCAGCAGTTGATGTTTCTGTGCTCCTCCTCAGGGCTGGACATGGACCTGACCACCCTGCTGGTCTGGCTGGCCAAGAACCGCTCCATCAGACACCTGTCACTGGGCAAGAACTTCAACAACATCAAGTCTAAGTGGGTGACTAACTGACAAAAAAGCAGTATTCCAGCTTCCTGAAAATGACATTACTTCTGGATTGTTACATTTATCAAGTACTTTATAATAATGAAGGTGACTAAGAATGCACTTACAGTATGTGGTCCCATATATATTTAAAATGTTACTACACATTGGTTTGTCATTTAATCACATTTTGATTTTCAACATTTTCTGCAGAAATGTGTCTCAGGTCCTGGACAACCTGGTTCACATGATTCAAGAGGAGGATTCAGTACGTGAAACATTTTAACATCAATTGAACATTACGTTTTTTGTTGTGATTCATACCAGTTCTCTTGCTGTTATTACCATTAAGAATGTCCCTGTTGATGAAAAATGAACTATATGTATACAGTATATAGTTTATAATATACTATTGAATATCAATGTGTTTCCCCTGCAGCCGCTGACCTCTCTGTCCCTGGCTGACTCCCGGCTGAAGACGGACCTCTCCATCGTCCTCAACGCTCTGGGCAGCAACACCTCTCTGACCAAACTGGACATCAGCGGGAACGCCATGGGAGACATGGGGGCCAAGATGCTGGCCAAAGCCCTGCAGATCAACACCAAGCTCAGGTGAGCAAGGAAGCCGCATTATCCCGGAAAAGCTATATTCATTGTGGGAGCTGCTACATCTGTGTGAATTTGGGCCTCCTTATGGTCGGTAGAAAAGCCCATGTGCAGGGGGCTAAGTCCCCGCTGTCAAGTATGCAAGTTCGACTCCCACCTGCGGAAAGTTTGGGGATGCGGGAACGGTTAATCTGATGGAAAGGTAACTGATAGAAATCTGGTAAAATGTCTGCGAGATCATCTCTGTTCAGATCAGAGACAAAAAAAGATAGCACTTTCACTTGTTTTATTCAAATGTGTGTTTGTGTTTGGGTATGTTTGATCCTCTTGGGTTGTGTGTGTGCAGGACGATAGTGTGGGACAGGAACAGCATCAGTCCTCAGGGTCTACAGGACGTCGCTGCTGCTCTGGAGAAGTAAGTATGAAGCAGTCACTGAAGGTAAAATTCCTATGCATGCTATCCGTCCTGCTCTGACTTTGTACTAGTATTAAGTCATGTTAAGTTACTATTTTCTCCCCCCCCAGGAACTACACCATTCGCTTCATGCCTATTCCCATCATGGATGCTGCTCAGGCACTGAAGGCGAGCCCAGAGAAGACGGAGGACGCCTTACTGAAGGTCATTGCCCTGTTTATTTGATTATTTTGTAAAGAGTACTCTATACCAGTGATTCTCAAATGGGGGTACGCGGACCCCTAGGGGTACGTTGGGGTACTGCAGGGGGTACGTGAGATTTAAAAAAAACAAAAGTTAATTAAAAAAATACCATGCATGATTACAAAATAATCTTAGTACAATAAGTTAAATAGAAAACACAATTGTATATAAAATATTCCTAGAACCACTAAGGGGGTCCTCATATAAACATGTCAAATTGGTGTATTGTATTTTATAGTTTTGCATAATATATCATTTTGTTCATTGGTTTGTTAAACAGATATTACTTCAGTTGAAAAAGTCCTTTGAAAAATCAGTTTAAATTTGTTTTCTTTTTTCATGCATAAAATGAAAATATCCTTAGTTTGTTGTAAAGGAGTTAATAAATCACACACTGAGGGAACATCACTATATTGGAATTATTTGTATAGGCTTTTTCGATCAAACATTTTCGGGGTCGGTCAGGGGGTACTTGGCTGAGAAAATGTTTCAAAGGGGGTACATGACTGAAAAAAGTTTGAGAAGCACTGCTCTATATGATAAGTTAGATATAAGAGTATAAAAGGGGACATATTATGCTCATGCTCTCTCTCTCTGAAATGCTCTGTTTTAGTGCCTCTCTCTTTAAGCAGACCCTCTGAGAAAGCCTAGTCTGCTCTAATTGGCTTGCGAAGAAAATTGTGAAGGTAGTTCTTCTCAGCCATGGGTGCAGAACCTCTGATGGGGTATGGTATATTCTGATACAAAACTAAAAGTACAAGCTGATTTCACAATATTATATATTTGTATTATGTTTTTATCACCAACAATTACATGTCATATCGTTTTAATGTTTGTTAAAGTTGAACCAATTTGAGTTACTTTTTCAAATACCGGGTAGATTATTGGTAAAGTACGGAATCATATCATATCATCATCACATGTGTTTTTAAATGTACAAATGTCCTAGTAACTATGAGTGTTAAATGCATGTAGTGGAGTAAAAAGTAGATAAAATGTTGTGAAGTAGAAGTAAATGTAAAAATAAATGGAATTACTGAAGTAAAGTACAAATATGTCAAAATAGTAGTTAAGTACAGTGCTTGAATAAATGTACTTAGTTACATTCCACCATTGCCAATGGAGGGGAGCCAAATATAAAGTTATATATAAAGTTAGTTGATTCCCATGTTTTTATTTCACATTGTATAGGTTATTAGGCATTTCAAATACCCAGATGTTTGAGCACAAGCACTAGTTCCTGTCACTCTGTAATCACATTTCATTTTGACAGTTGAATAGTTGTGTTTTGTGGTGCAGATGGAGCAGTACCTGCTGAGGAACCATGAGACGCGTAAATACCTCCAGGAGCAGGCGTACAGGCTGCAGCAGGGGATAGTCACCACCACCACACAACAGGCAGGCTCTCCAACACACACACACACACACACACACACACACACACACACACACACACACACACACACACACACACACACACACACACACACACACACACACACACCATGTATACATCACTTCTGGGGACATTACATTGACTTGCATGCATTTCCTGGAGACTTATCCTAACCTTAACCATAACCAACACATGCCTAACCCTTAACCTTACCCTAACCCTAACCCTAACCAAGTTTTCACCCTAACATTAATGATTCCCCTCATAGGGACCTCCATGTTGTCCCCATAAGGGAGGCGAGTCAAATCCCATTCAATGAGTTAACATATCAGGGTTTGTATTCTGACCTCTGGTATCTGTGCTGCAGATGATGGACATGATGTGTGTGAAGGTGCAGGACCACCTGAACTCTCTGAGGTTCACAGAGACCAACTCGGTCCAGGAGGACATGAAGGTGGCAGAGAACTTCATGAAAGACGCCAAGAACTCCAAGACAGTAAGAAGACATGATTTGTGGGAATAATCCTAAATATAACGCTTCAATCCTCCAACTCCCATAGCTGACTGAATATTTAGAGACAGTAAAAAATCACCTTCTACCTGTTAGACAACACGCTTAAAACATGCATTGGATGTTAAGAGGCATATAACAATATTTTCCTCATTTATGGTGCAGATTATCAACTGCCTACTAGGCAGCCGCCCCCCCACTGTAGAGCCTTGCCCCCTCAGCTGCCCCCCTAACTTTGGTGTCCCAAAAACTGTACTTGTAGAAACAAACCTACACTATGTCCACAAGCTTCTCAAGCAACGAAACAAGCAGTTCATTAATTAAAAGTGAATCATTTTAAATATCATCTTAGGGCCGTTAAAAAACGTAGCTACGGCCCTGCATTAAACTGCGGAGCGGCGTTCACACCGACCGCGGCTCACACAGCTGCAGAGAGACCGAGTTGTCCCAGCACCTGAAGGTGGATCAGCTTCCCCTGGGAGCATTTCCCCTTCGACTGGTTTTGTTTTTAATAAGGACAAGAGCTTCAAACAAAATATGAATAAAACACTGCCGTTTGAATCGATAGCGTTTAACAGACGATCGCTGTTTGGGACGTTACTTTACAAAATACTACGCAGACAGCGCTTATTAAATCCACGTATATTACACATCACAGCAATGAGGCCAGATAAATTAAGGCAAGGCAAGTTTATTTATATAGCACTTTTCAACACAAGGCAATTCAAAGTGCTTTACAAAAAATGAAAGACATTAAGAAAATGGCATTTAAAATCAGTCATTAAAAAGAAAAGCTAATAAAATAAACATTAAAAGAAAAAATACATGGATAAAAGTTACAGTGCAGTCTAAGATATGAATAGTTCAATTAAAAGCAGCGACAAAAAGAAAAGTCTTCAGCCTGGATTTAAAAGTAGTCAGAGTTGTAGCGGACCTGCAGGTTTCTGGGAGTTTGTTCCAGATATTTGGAGCATAATAACTGAACGCTGCTTTACCATGTTTAGTTCTGACTCTGGGGACAGAAAGCTGACCAGTCCCTGAAGACCTGAGAGATCTGGATGGTTCATAATTTAGCAGGAGGTCAGAAATGTATTTTGGGCCTAAACCATTCAAAGCTTTATAAACCAGCAGCAGTATTTGGAAATCTATTATTTGACACACAGGAAGCCAGTGTAAAGACTTCAGAACAGGAGTGATGTGATCCACTTTCTTAGTGTTAGTGAGGACTCGAGCAGCGGCGTTCTAAATCAGCTGCAGATTCCTAATAGATTTTTTAGTGAGACCTGTGAAGACACCATTGCAGTAGTCCAGTCTACTGAAGATAAAAGGATGGACAAGATTTTCCAAATCCTGCTGTGACATTAGTCTTTTAATCCTAGATATGTTCTTTAGGTGATAGTAGGCTGATTTAGTAACTGTTGTAATGTGACTGTTGAAACTCAGGTCAGAGTCCATGACTACACCTAGATTTCTGGCTTTATCTGTTGTTTTGAACATTGCAGACTGAAGCTCAGCGCTAACTTTTAAGCGTTCTGACTTGGCTCCAAAAACCATTACCTCAGTTTTATCTTTGTTTAATTGGAGAAAGTTCTGACACATCCAGTCATTGATTTGTTCAATGCACTTACTCTGTTTTAATTGGAGCATAGTCTCCTGGTGAAATTGTTACGTAAATTTGTGTGTCATCTGCATAGCTATGGTAACTTATTTTGTTGTTTTTCATTATCTGAGCCAGTGGTAGCATGTAGATGTTAAAGAGAAGAGGCCCCAGGATGGAGCCTTGAGGTACCCCACATGTCATATTTGTCAACTCAGATGTGTATTTACCTATAGAAACAAAGTTTATTTTTAATTAAACCAGGATACATCCTTTACCGTCAAACTGGATCTAAACACAACTGCCTGTGTGCGTTTGATAAATACATTCTGATTTTATATTTATTATAGGCTATGCTACTTATCAGCTACATGGCCCTAACGTGTAAAGTTATACAAGCATTTGTACCAGTGCTTTTCACAAGTAGACTCGTGCAGGCTAGAGTAGCTGGAGTGATTCAACAACAACACAAAGACATATCTGAGAAGTGATCAGGACGAACAGAAAGAGGAAAAGGAAAATACAGTACACTGAAGAGATCAGGAGGGTCAGAGCCGGCGGAAGAGGAGGAGATGAAGACATTAGTGAAGAAGAAGAAATGTATGTGAGGAATAAAGATGAAGTGTCAGAAAGAGGGACAGAGGCAGGAATCAGGAGGCAGAGGAGACTCCAGCTGGACCACATGGTATGTTTTTATCCTCCTTGCACATAATCAAATCAAATCAAGTTTTATTTATATAGCACATTTATAAACGATTTTGGTCGAGCCAAAGTGCTGTACATATAATAAAAATAGCCTACAGTAGAGACACTTTACAGCAAATACAACAGCACAGATTGTTCAGAATATCAGTATGAGAAAAACGACACCCTCTGTCCTTAGACCCTCACATCGTACAAGGAAAAACTTCCAGAGAAAACCCACAGTTTAAGGGGAAAAAATGGGAGAAACCTCAGGGAGAGCAACATAGGAGGGATCCCTCTCCCAGGACGGACAGACGTGCAATAGATGCCGTGTGTAAATCGAAGAGATAATACATTTTACAGCATATAGACCGAATGTTAGGAAATGCATGTGTCTGTAATAAGAAGATGAATCCACGAGGATGTCAGCTACAATCCTGTGGAAGCCATCAGGGAAGCAGCATGACGAGACCCAAGGCAGGACCGCAGAGACAGGTTCAGCCACGACCCGAAGTCCACGACTTAATCCAGAACTCAGGATAGAGGATCCAAGACACAGGACTCCAGCAAGAGGATCAGCCTTGACTCCGGATCCCGGCGTAGATATAGATACAAAACAATAAAAAAGATTTGGCTGGGTTAATCGGAACAAGAGAATACACAGACACAGACAGAGAGGGAAAAGGTCATTGGATACAAGTTATTCTTGATAACCCTCTAGAAAGATCTCATGAACTTCCCCACTCAATCTATCAAGACCCGAACATTTCTATTAGATATAGGATAAGAAACAGAGATAGGGAGCACAACAACCTATCTCTTCGTCAGATGCAGTCCCCCGCTTATCTAAGCGACTCTGTACCCCGTTACCCTCTACAAGGCCATAGACCAGCAGAGAGAAAATGGGGGGTGGGTAAGGGTAAGGGTTTTTAAGAATAAACCGCAAGGGTCTAAAGGGAAAAAACATGAAATATAAGGTACTATATAAGTAATCCTATCTACTATTCCTATATTCGAATAATGTATAAACTATTTTTTAAATACTTTATGAAATCCTATGTTATGTTATAAATATTAAAATAAAGAACTAAATGAATAAATAGATAATTAAACAAAAGCCAGAGAGAAAAAGTGAGTTTTAAGTGTTGATTTAAAAAAAACCCGGGTCTGGGCCGACCTCACATGGAGGGGCAAAGTATTCCAGAGCCTAGGGCCAGCCGCTGCGAAAGCTCGATGCCCTCGGGTTTTAAGCCTGGTCTTAGGCACTATCAGCAGCAGCTGATCAGCCGACCTTAAGGCTCTGCCTGGGGTGTAGCGATGGAGGAGTTCGGCTATATAGGCAGGAGCCAGCCCATTTAGGGCTTTAAAAACAAATAAAAGGAGTTTAAAATCTATTCTGAACCGAACTGGAAGCCAGTGCAATGAGGCCAGAATTGGGGTGATATGGTCGCGCTTTTTATGGCCAGTGAGAAGACGTGCAGCTGCATTCTGAACTAGCTGCAGGCGTCTAATTGAGGCCTGGTCCATACCCACATACAGAGCGTTGCAGTAATCCAGTCTCGAGGTAACAAAGGCGTTAATAACCCTTTCTAGGTCTTTAAAAGATAAAAACGACTTGGTCTTAGCCAATAGTCGTATTTTGAAAAAGCAGGTCTTGACTACGGTGCTAACCTGCTTATCCAATTTAAAGGCGCTGTTGAAGGTCACTCCAAGGTTCATAACAGAGGGGAGGATATTTTTATTGAGGGAGCCCAGAATATCAACCGGGGAGACTGTTGGTTGGGGTCCAAAAAAGATGACCTCGGTCTTGCTCTCATTGAGGGTGAGGACGTTTTACAGCAGCACAATTTAACGGCTCTTAGTATTGACAAATATTGATTGAAATGTGTTGCTGCACAGGTCACCTTTAGCTCTCTTAAGAGATGGGTGATGTCATTTGTGTACTTAATTATAACTAAGTACTTTTACTGTACTTACAGTAAACATAATTCTAGGGTATCATGAGTATTTTCTGCTGTTTTATACTATATTTTAGTTTGTTTGTCTGAACACCTTGTTTCTCTTGTGCATTAAGAACTTGTGTTAGGGCATTATTTAACAATAAATAGGTTACACAGTATAGAATACCACATACGGTCCGCCCTCCCATGCCACCCTGGCATGACCTCTTGCCCCCCCCTTTGCCACCCCATGTAAAATGTTCTAGAACCCCCACTGCTACTAGTGATAAGGCATGGGACTATATGAACATTTTAACTCACGATTATCCTGGCCAAAATAATCGTGATTCACGGTATTATCCAAATTATAATAAAGAATACGCTTAAAAATCAAAAAATGGCACGCAAACTAAAATCTACATTGCATTTTGTTATACGACAAGTTTTGCCATCACAGATAGGGGCACAGGTTTTAAGTAAAATGACAAACAAACAACATGAAATAAGGTAATAAATAAACATCATAAGGTGCCCCTGCATAAATGAAAGGTTAGATCAAATGTAATAAGAAATGTGTGTGTCAGATCTTTGTCACATGATCAATCCTTTATGTATTATTCACTTATATACAATGATCATTGGCTACACAGCTTTTCAATTAACACATTTTGGATTATCCCAATAATGGAAATCATTATTTCGTTTTTTTATATATTGTAATCAGCAATATATAATTCCTATTTCATGAATTCTCTTTGAGCTGCCAGCCAAATAAATACATCTAAAGCCGTAACTTTATTACTTTCCTCCTGTTTAAAATATTTCAACCTGTTTATAACACCTGCAGTGAATAATAAAAGTAATTTGGCATTGTACTCTTGTGATTTTTGTAATCTCTCAGTTTTAAAAATATATAAATTGATAGAATATTCAAAAATGCTAATTGACCTCATAAGAAAATCAAAGATTAGTCCAAAGAAATACTTGTTAAAACGTCTGAACGACCTCATCTCTCCTCCCTGCAGCTGCTCCCTAACCTGTACCACCTGAGGAGTGGGGGGTCCAGTGGAGTGTGTGTTGGAGCCATTCAGGACAAACTGGAGTCCATGGCAGGAGAGGTTTCCCGGGTGATGGACGAACAGCTGCAGGTACTGAGCTGCTGTTATTACCGTAACAGTATCTGTGACAAGAATTTGTAATGTAATCTTACATTTATGACTTTCTAAAATCAAACCGGAATACAATGTATCGTTTAAACTGTCCTATCTCGTCGTCCCCAGACGATGCTGGTGTCCATGGTGGACACTGCAGAGGGTCTGTGTCCTCATGTGATGAAGAGGGGTAGCCTTCGCCAGGAGCTCCTGAAGGCCGGATCAGGGAAGATGACGGTTCCCCGCAGCTTCATCAGCACCACGCTGCTGGAGCAGTCCGGGGTCGACATCATCAACAAGATAAGGTCTGGTCTGCTGCATGTGTGTTGGCCAAGGTCCTAGTCATTTTGCGATCAGTAGAGAATAAATCCACTACTGTTACTTCGAGGAGAACATGTCGAACATGTCTAGTATTGAGTTACTGCAGCTGATGTGGAATTTCAAGGTGGCAAATTCATTTTTTTCTTCATACATCTGTCATGTGCCTCCATGGCAAACTGTTTTTTTTTCACGCCCCTGTGCTGATAACTGTGAAATTACAGAAGTTTAAATATATGTTTTCTTTTCTGATATTTTTAGCACCTTAGGCCTTTATGTTAAATATGAATAATGAAGAGAGTCCATTTCTGTTTTTCTGTTTTTGTTTTTATGAAACAGTGAATTGAAGCTGAGCATGGCCTCTTTTCTGTCTGATCGTATCGTGGATGAGATCCTGGATTCTCTGTCCAGATCACAGCACACTCTGGTGAGTTCCCTCTCTGCATGTCAGTCGGTCTTTCTTTTTGTGTGTTTTTATGTCCTTTCATCCCTATCCTACTTTCTCCTTCTGTCTCCAGGGTGACCATCTGATCAGGAAGAGTCAGCCACTGCTGCATCACGATCCCCCGCTGGAGGCAGAGGTTCTGGATGAGGTGGTTCTGCAGCCAGCCAATCACAACCAGGATCAGAAATTAAAACATGAGCGGGATCACAAACACAGGCTGGAAGACATGGACACATGCATTGTAAGAAAACAACAACAACTATTTTACTGCATATCAGTCCGTAAACAATGGTTTATGTAGTTCTACATGTGGTTGTGTAAAAATACATCGTCTCAGCAGATTTGCCGTTTTGAGCGCACATTGTGGATTAAATAAACCATCATTTTTACTTCTAAACAAATTGATTTAAAACCTGTTTTTGTTTTTCAGATGACCCCTAAATCAAAGAGGAAGAGTATTCTGGTCAGGATGCTGCGCCCCGTCTCTGTGGCATTTGGTGAGAGAAATCTTAATGTGTTACACATTTTTTGCTTTTTTTAGCTTTAGGTAGCAACATCCATTTCCCTTACTTATATTTTAAGAATACTGTTCCTGCCCTGAGCATTTCCTGTTCAAATCTTAAACAATTGTTACTATTAAATTGAAGTTTCCTCACCCTCTGCCGTTCACACTCATTCCAAAGTAAATGGCTGTGGATATTTGTATATCAAATACAATTTTGTTTCTAGCTCTGTAAACCAAGTGACCAATTAGATTAAGTTAAAACTATGAAAAAAATGATTTATGTGGTGATTTTATTTATAAAGCCAGTTTAATTTTGGTGGAATTGGGGGCTGTGTTTATAATGTTTCCAGTCAGGATGCTTTAGTTTGTTCTCTTTCAAAGGTTTACAAGATCTTGATATGGTCATTTCTCCTTCTTTAAAAAACATTACAACAGTTTTTTAGCTTTTTTCAGCAGTTTGGAGATATGTCAAGACCATGTCAGGTTTTTTAGGGTGTTGATACCCTGGAACTTGAAACTGTTCACACGCTCTACCGAAGCTCAGGGTCATCATCTCCTTTTTCTTAAATCAACATTCAATTCCTTGTTTTTACTGATAATGAGCAGGAGGTTGTTCTCTGAGCACCACTGGGAAATATTGTTGATTTCCTCTCTATATAAATCTACATCGTTGCTTGTAGTTTGGCAGATCATGTTACAGTCATCCATAAACTTTACAACAGAGTTCTCTTCATGAGCAACTAGAACAAGAAGGGACTAAGCACAACACCCTGGAGTGCTCCAGTGTTGGACACTAGAGTGAAAGAGGTGCAAAACGATCTGACTCGGGTCCAAAATGAGTGTAATTCTCTCAAGTCAAGTTTGTAGTTTTGATTAAGTTTGGCTTAATTCAATCAACAGGCTGCAAACATCATTATTAACTGTTTATTTCCCCACATGGCTATGCCTTCTGTCGGACCAACAGAGATGGAATTTGACCTGGACAAAGCTCTGGAGGAAGTTCCTATCCATGTCGAGGACCCCCCTCCACCTCCTCCTCCTTCACAGCCATTGGACAGAGCGTCGGCCTACTATGGAGACCTCCCCCCTCCCCCTACTCCCCTGGATACAAATTCTGTCTGTCTAAGCGAGCTGCCAGTGGTGGAGCACAAGATGCTGGAGAGTCACACCAAACAACGGCCAAAACCCAAGAAGAGGACCAAACCCAGCCGACCAACTGTAGGTGTCCCTCAGGAAGCGATTGTTGTTTTTGTTTTGTTGTCAACTGTTCAGTGGACGACAAGCATATATTTGTCATTTATTTATTCACATTCACCATTCAATCTAAATCTATAAAAAATGTATTTAGATGACTTTGCTAGCAAAAACAGTTGTTAATGAAACAAATAGACCCTGAAATGTTGGAATTTATTGTAAACCTGTGTTTGATCATAAGGTTGCATTGCAGTGCTTTTCATGTTGGGCCTATTAACACTTAGCGATGTGTGTTTCTTGGAAATAAGTCCTTTACCATGAAAAAAAAGCATTAAAACATTACTAATCTTCTAAAACAATCTATGTCAATTAACTTCCTGATTAGTTGACATAACGGGGAATACTGAATCAAAACACATATTTAGGTCATTCCCTAACACCAGAATCTATACTGTGGTCTTTGAGCCAAAAACCTTTTTTTAAAAGATGTTGACAGGAACTCAGGAATTCTGTTTTCAAGGTCTTTAATTCCCTGACAAGATTATATGCTACCAGCCTTAAATGTAATTGAGTCTCTTCTCTCCATTAAGCGGAAATCCACCGGCAGCTCGGCGCCACAAGATGCAGAGCCAAACAGCATTATGGGAAAACTGGATGAGGGCCTGGATGACTTCTTCACCAAGAAAGTCATTAAACTGAGCTTCAAGTGAGAATCAAGATACAAACATTGTTACAGAGTTTGACATGAACACAACAACGAAAAACCACAGCACTTCCTCATAGTCTTCTCAGTTTTTATCAACACATTTTTGATGATCTTTGTAAAAGACAATGCAGATTGTACAAAAGCAGAGTATGATTGTGTGTCATCAGTATAACATAAGTGAACAGATACTTTTTCACAACGTTGAAACATTTATGATTTGGTTAGTCTGATTTTTTTTAATATTATTATTTTTTATCCTGTAGACTTCCCACTGTAAGAGGCCTGTCCTCAAGCCCGCAGGAATCGGCAGATAAGAAACGTGAATCCAGGAAAAGCGGTTTCTTTAACCTCATCAAATCCCGGACATCCCGCTCGGAGAAGAGCACTGGAGCTGCCTCCATCACTCCCCCCCCACCCTGCTTCCACAACTACTGTCTCAACCTCTCACTCTATTACCCCAGTGCATGAGGAAACAACACCAACATCATCCACTGCTCACACAAAAATCCCTACCACTGCGGAGGACTCCCATCAGGAGCTCCACAGGGAACCATCCTTGGAACACACAGATTCTGAGAGGGAGGTTTCTTCGACGGACACTGAACCTAATGAGGAGTTGAAGACGGAGGAGGATGTGGAGAAGGAAAATGTTGAGGATAACGAGAACCTGGAGAAGAAGGAGAACCCCCAAATTCCCCGCAATATTGGAGTCCCTGTGATGGGCATGGGCCTGATGGCTGAAATGAAGGCAAGGCAGGAGAGAATGGCTGTAAAGAAGGTAGGTGAAACTCAGCCTTCAAGATTTGTAATAGTATTTATTAACCATCTTCAAGCCAAATATTGGTACCAGGAGTCTAGGTGCTACTTTTCTGACATTCAGTATCGATGGCAAAGTTAAAAATTAGTATCAACTAACCAAAACCGCTAATTGGAACAGCTAGTGTGATCTCTTAATGCTATATACTATTGGTAGGAAATCACAGCAAAATAAACTTTAAATAAAGATTTAGATCTTTTTATAGAATTATTATAGAACAGTAGGGGATAAAGTGCTAATTAAGTTAACTGGAGTCAGAAAAATACATTAAGCATCACTGCCTTTATTATAATACATTATTATTATTATTGTTGTTATTATTATTATTTAAAATACATTTTTTCATCATTTATTTTTATTTTATAATTACTAATACATGTATACAATTATGCAATATTTATTGTCCATTTTTTTTCTACTGATTGCAGGATTTTTTTCTTTAGACAAATTAAATGAACATTTTTAGAGGGAGCGTGAAATCAAATTGCCACCGACTGCTTCTCTTTCATTGTTGTGACAATTACAATATATAACTTTAAACATGAATAAAGCTCTCGTCTTTCGGTTTTTAGTCTGAGTCGTCATCTTTGCTGGACAAGGTGGAAGAAGACAACGGTGAGTTTCTTACATTTTGGATTTGGATCTTCAGTACGTTGGATTTTCAAGCCAAACTTAGGTTAAATATTTCAGTTTCATGACATATATCTTGATAATTGAATAGCTGTAAGTAAATGTCCTTAATAATTTGTTCATATATTACATCCCACAGTATCTACAAATTGTCTCTGTCATTATGTCTATAGCCAAGTCAGACGTCCATCCCACTGTGCCAGCAGACGATGAAGAGTCCAGACCAGAGCCGACTCCAAGGTCAAAACCACCCAGCGTCACCCCCAAACCCCCTCCTCAGGCTGCCAAACCCCCTCTAGGGTCCCGCATCTCTGGGCCCCTCAGTCCTGTCAGTCCAACCAGTCCCAGGCCGAGCAGCACCTTCATCCTCGGTAGGCAACATTCCATACACTAGCTTTAAGATGTTTTCTAATCAGCTGTGGGACATCAGGCGATATGAGAAGCTGTGATTCTTTCCATATATCTTGATATCACCACAAGCAGTATTTGTATTCCTTTTTTATGTGTTTTAGTAGTGAAAATAAATAAATAGTTGAATTGATCTCTGTTTGTCAGATGACTCTGCTGAGGCTTCATCAGGAACCTCAGCAGCCAAAGGTCCACTTCCTGCTCCTCGCCTGAAGAGGGCGCCGTCAGAGCAGGAGAGAGAGAGCACCAGCAGCAGCTCAGCAGGACCCCTGTCCCCTCTGGAAGGTGGGTTTCTCCTTATAGAAAAGGTTGAGTAGTAGCAAAATTAGCAGGATTTTAGTATTAGTCATTTTTAGTGAAGAACTGGTCACAGGTCACCTATTGTGCAAAATGTCTTTTATACATAAATATGTATCCCCAGTGTGTTAGGAGTCTCACAAAGTGTCAGAAAATACAACCCTCTCTCTTTTCCTCCTTACCCACATCTCTAAAAACTGGTGTACAACGGAGGTTACATATAAAGGGCTGGACCCAGAATCAGCACTTTACTAACAGGGCTGAAATAGAGTGGTATGAGGCATGGCTACAATGGGTGATCTGTTTGGTATGTTGAGCAAAACACTTCAGAGACATGTTTCGTATAGATATGGCCCTATAATATATTGTTCAAATGTAGCATAATAGGTGAGTTTTAATGTTGTTGTTGTTGTTGTTTATGGATTTATGTATTAATGTGAGGGTTATGTAGAAGTAGTAGAATATAACTCATATCGCTGTATTAAATATGCAACATTTTGGAGTGTCCTTGTGGCATAGTTTTAAAGATGTACACCTTAGTATAACCCAAACGTCCCCAGTTTGATTTTGGCAGGGGACCTTTGTTTCCTCTCTACTGTCACTATCAAATAAAGGCTGAATGATTACAAATATATTATTATTATTATCTTATTTTCACAAATTTAAAGAAGATAAATAACTTAAAATACCAGAGGACTTCAAGCATGCTCTGTTTCCTATTTTCCATTATTCACCCCATCTTAAACACAAATCAAGAAACCCAAAACACTGAAGGGCGAAAACTAAAATACAATGCATCTGCAGGGAATCTGCAGGCTCTACATGAGATTGAACTATTGAGAACATAGAAGCTGGGTTATTTCCCTCTCATATGTTCTTTCTTCATGATGAAGGTAGCATGACTCATGCAGAAACACTCAATGTACCAGGTTACAACGTGTTTAATGAATGCTTTGGAGGCCGTATTTGACGCCTTCACACACCAAACACATCTGAAGCAAAGGTTAAAGCCTGTACTCGACATGTCAGAGTGTCAGTGTGTGTTGGAGTTTAACACTCGACTGTAATTAAGCCTTTAAAAGAACTCTGTCTTTTTCCTTAAAAAGCATTTATTCGACGTAATCACAAAGGCAAGTTGTTGAGCAAAAAGAGGTGTTATTAAATAAGAGACAAGCTGAAGTTAATGGACACATTTAAAGAGCGTTAATTACACCCTGAAAGAAAATGTGAGATAGTTATTTACAGAATGTTAGCTGTAACAATATCTTATAATCCTAATTAAGTCCATTAAAATATCAAATAAAAATAATAAAATATAATTAATTAAAAGTAGGCACTGCAGATTAAAAAAATGTATGTATGTATCTTTCTTTTTTAGCTGTGTATTTATTCAGGTAACAAAATATTTCAAAATTGAGGATTACAATTCTAATCATACCAGTAAAACCCAGGAACATATACTTGCATATTTTCTAATAAGTTTATTGTTTTCTGTAGTTGTTCAACTCACTCCAGTCTCAACTCTTCCTAGGTCCACGTTAGGGAACAAACTAATAATACAAAATGTTTGATGAAATATTTCTTTAGGATCTTTCTATACAAATCAGATTTGTTGTTTCTCTTCTGCCTGCAGATGAGTTTCCTGGGGATGGTGATGCGTTTGAGCCACTCAGTCCAGCGGGAGATCACAGCGTTGGTGGCAGACACTGGTCCTCTCTGAAGAGCTCAGCTCCTCCTCATCTTCTCTCCAGCGAGGACGACCGAGAGAGAACCAAGTCCCTCCCAGCCTTCGGTTCGAATAAACTCAGTCTTTCCAGCACACAAATCCTCTTTAAGACTCTGCATGGTTGTCTAAATGAAGCCACAATCACCACTCTGTATAGTAACACATTTCAATCAACCATCAAGGAACTATTGAGAACCTTTCAATGGTTTAAAAAGGTTGCTTTCAGGGCCTGCTTTCACTGTTGGTAGCTCAAGAATACTTACGAACAACAGTAGACTTTAGCCACAAAATGATTTTTTATATACAATGAATATCCCGGTATTATCCTTAATCCTTATAAAAAAAATTACTAGTTGATTTATATTTGGTATTAATAATCTGAATCTGCAAAGTAGCTAATAACTAAGGCTAAAGATAAATGTTGTTCAGTAAAAAATACACCGGCCTACAAAATATAGTGGAGTAAAAGATTAAAGTAGCATGATGTAAACATCCGGGAGGGACTCGGAGTTGAACCGCTCCTCCTTCGCGTCGAAAGGAGCCAGTTGAGGTGGTTCGGGCACCTAATTAGTATGCCACCTGGGCGCCTCCCTAGGGAGGTGTTCCAGGCACGTCCAGCTGGGAAGAGACCAAGGAGTAGACCTAGGACCAGGTGGAGGGATTATATCTCTTCGCTGGCCTGGGAGCGCCTTGGGATCCCCCAGTCAGAGCTGGTTGATGTGGCCAGGGAAAGGAAAGTTTGGGGCTCTCTGCTGGAACTGCTACCCCCGCGACCCGACCACGGATAAGCGGGAGAAGATAGATGGATGGATGGATGATGTAAACATTTGGTTAGGTACAAGTACCTAAAATATTTAGTTAAAGGGGCCCTATTGTGCTTCATGGGGTTTTCCCTTTCCTGTAGTTCCTATGTTTACTATTGTAACATAATAACATCACTATGTACTGTAACACTCGCACTTCTATTGGCTAGTGCACCACCACCTTGTACGTGATAGGCTAAGGGACGGGGAATCTCGAAGGGGGTTGACCAATCAAATTAGCCGGCCAGCTAATCAATCAGAGCAGCTCTGGTTTCAGACAGAGGGTGAAAAAGTATGAGAAAAATAAAGAGCTTTCTGAACATAAAGCATGGAGACATGTCACAGTGGAGACACTACATACTGATATGAAGCTGACAATGAGCAGAATAGGGCCTCTTTAAGTACAGTACATGAGTAAGTGTGATTAGTTATATCTCTCACAGGCTCCGCTCTCTACTGGACTCTATGGGTACTACCTTACCCTGCGAGCATTCTCCCACTGAGACTTCTATAGACATAGACGTAGCCGGCCTTGGGCGGGCCTACCTGAATGCGCGCGCATCACACCATATAAAAGGAGGCCTCGCCTCCTGACTATCATCCTTTTCTCTTCAGCAGCGGAAGTGATTCCACGAGAGACTGAGATGTTTGAAAGAAGAAGAAAGAGTTATCATACCTCCAGGGAGTCGCCACTGCTAGAGACCCGGGCCTGTCCTTCGTGCCCTGGCTGAAATAGCGGGCGCTGATCCCCACCACCTTTGCGGACCAGGATATGGCCGAGGCGGTGCCATTCACGTTCGCCATTCCTTCCGGGTCTGGCGTCCATGGAAGTCCACCGCCCAGGGCTGTACTCTCCCTGGGTGATGATCATGGCGGCGGGTGACTACTCACTCATTGCTAGAGATGCCCCCGCCTCACCAGGTCAGAGCGATTATTGGGCCGCAAGGCCGAATAAGTAGCTTGGTCCACGGGCCTTGCCCCAGGCCCGGTTCCCCCGGGGACCGGTGCTCGGTGGCTTCACATTATATAGGGTCGACCCTACTTCATCACAGGTCGCCGCCGCTGCCCGCCGTGTGATGTCCCTGGGATATCACGCCGCGTGGCACTTTCCAAAGAGGATCGCGTTGATCTCCTGGGAGCCCCCGTGTTTATGGAAGGGCTCTTTGGATCGATCTCCTTGCTCACGGGATGAGGAGTAGTCGCAGCGTGGCTGCTTCTTGCCCATTCCCAGAGGAAGAGACACTGTCCTACACTCCCCGCCCCTGCTGTAAACCCCAGTATAGGGAGCCAGCAGGTGGGCATGTGCACGTGAGTGGAATAAACTGAGTGCTGTCAAAGCACTGTGCGGGTTCAAGAGACGCTATTGCCGGCGTGCTGTTGTCAGAAAACACACCTTGCCTGGTATAATAGCTCCGATTAATGCATTTCACCGTTGCAATGGGAAATACAGCGTTAATACGAGGGCGCGCGGCCCTCGTGAGAGTGGGCGTGCGGCCCTCGTGAGAGTGGCCGCGGTGCGTTCAGGGACCCCCGCAGGAGAACGGTGGTTTACATTTGTAAACTCTAGTTCTGGAGTGAGGTGTGTGTGTGGGAAAAATGCATTCAGTAAAGACTATTGCATTTATCCCAGAGTGAGAGTCCTTTCTCTCCACAATTCCACTTTTCCCCATAATGTCTGTTTCAAAGAGACAGCATTGTGACGGCGCGCGCGGCTCCCCTCCCCCGAGGGCGGGCCACGGTGCGTTCAAAGACCTTAGTAGAGAGGTGAGACGAAGGGAGAGGTGCCGGCACGGAGATCCCGTGCCCGTGGCGCCCTCCACCTTTTCGGCCCACCCCGTGGAACCGGCGTGCCGGCACTCACGGGGACGGGCTTTCCGTCTTTACGCATCTGACTGGCGGGGGGAGAAAATCTCCCCGCCCGGGACGAGGGGGCGAATCCCGCCTCCTCCCTGTATAATGCACATATCACTATGTTTCTAATAAGAATGAGGTTGATCTGTATCCAAATCTAAGTGTCTTTTGTTTCCACAAAGGCTACACTTAGGCCTACACACAATGTTAACCGTACAAATTCCCCATTCGCTGCCCCAGCTGTAGCTCCTGTAAAGGAGGTGGCTAGTGGGCATGCGCAGATGAGAGGGATGAACCGCAGGGAGTGCTATCTAAAGGAGAGCGCTATGCGGGTACACGGACATTATGGCCGGCGTATTACTGTCAGAGAACACACTACACCTAGAGCAAAGACTCCAATGCAGTTTTCCGTAGTGGTAAAGGCTGCATTATGGCGGAGCCCGCACTCACACAAGAGCACGTGGCGGTGCGTTCAGGGACCTTAATAAAACACTACGCCTATAAGGACTCCGATTAATGCTGTTTACCGTAGTGGTGAGAACAGCATTAGGGTGGAGCGCGCGCTGGAACTGCAACAACTTATAGTGTGTGCGTTCCATGCTCACTTTACAGCGAGAAGCTCATGGGGCTTTCCCGAACCTGTGTCGAGATCTGGAGTTAAATGAAATCTCAGATTTGCCTTCTTAATAGTTTGTTTGGGTCCCTCACTTCCGTTTAGCTTCTCATGCACTGATTCGCTAGCTGAACAGCCAATCAGAGTGATTTCTTTTGCCGACTGCCTGCCGATTTTTGTCCGAAAAGGCATCGGCACGGCTGATAAGACCCGACAGTGCGCGACACACCAATCTGAGTAGGGCGTGTCGACGCTCATCGTCGGCCTGACGCCCACCGACGCTGATAATCGGCCTGGTGTGTCCGTGCCTTTAGACAGCCCTTTAGTCTTGCCCATGGTGGAGAAGTTGGAATCTGATTGATTGATTGATTCTGTGGACAGGTGTCTTTTATACAGATAACAAGTTGATATTAGATATGAGTACTTTCTTAAAGGAAGAGGACTTATGTAACCATCTGTGGGAGCCAGCATCCTTGTTGGTTGCAAAGGGATCAAATGCTTATTTCCCACAATGCAAATCAATTTTTATCTTTTATATAATGTCAATTTCTGGATTTTCTTTTTGATATTCTTACTCTAAACTTCTTGGTCAAAATGCATGTATGCATGGTATGCAATGTTGTGCTAGTTACTGAAAACCAGTAACTAGTTACCATTACTAGTTACTTCATGTCAAAAGTAACTCAGTTACTTTACTAGTTACTTACACCCAAAAGTAATGCGTTACTGTGAAAAGTAACGTTTTCGTTAGTTGCAAAAAATGTCTCCCATTAATGCCCTTATAGCCTTCATTTCAGTACTGTTATTGCATTGGAGAATAATACAATCTGTTGATCAACTTGACATGCATTATATGCAATCTGGATTGCATCGATATTAGCTGGCTTTCCATTTTTGTATATTCTTTCTCCAGGTAGTTGGAAAAAGTGTTCCGTCCCATATGCCGTGTGCCGCCCGGACATGCTATCATGCTAACTAGCTCCCTGAAAGCGGGTGACTCCACTGTAGCAATAGCCTGCATGTGTTCTACAACATACCGTGCAATGGCTTTATCGACTTTTCCCTGGCCAGCAGTCCCTTGGTTAAAATCCAGCCGCTGTTGCTTAGGTGGAGGTGGAGTGGCGTCGGCTGAGTCTCTGTGGTCTTAGCTACTAGCTTCGTCCCAGCATGTTGTTTTTGCAGATGTTTTAAGAGATTTGAATTACTGGTTTGGGCAGTAGATAAGATCTTTGACCCGCCAAGACACAACTCACATTTAACTAAAACGTTCTTTTCTTTGTGCTCGACAAAAGTGAAATAGTGAGAATATCTCCAGGTGGAGAAACTAGACTTGAGCTCCGCCGCCGCCATGATAGTCTTGTTAGTAAACAACACAAATACGCCCACAGCCCGTCTCCGCATGTGACACAGGAAGTATCTAAGTACATTTACTCAAGTACTTAAGTACAGTTCTCATCTCTGTTCGCCTGGCTGTTGACTATATAAAAAAACTAACGCAGTAACGGAGTAACGCACCATGTAGTAACGGTAACTGAGTTACTGAATTAAAAAAGTAATGCGTTAGAGTACTAGTTACTGCCAAAAATAACGGCGTTACAGTAACGCGTTACTGTAACGCGTTAGTCCCATCACTGATGGTATGTAATGTGCATTCAACTGCGTTAGTTTTTTTGTTGATAGTCCTTCGAATATCTTCCATTGTTTTAATCCAGCTGTTTCCCTCATGCTTTTTCTTCATCCTCCCTGCAGTGAGTCCTCCATCCCTGGCAGACACTGATCTCAGTCCAGCTGAGGAGGAGTTTTTATCTCGGACCGCTGATCTGAAGTCTGATAGCAAATCAGAGGACGATTCAGACGACTCCACTTCAGTCTGACACCATCGACATGTCTTCTCTTTTAAATCCTGATTCCATCTACATTTGAAAAACAAAACAAAACAAACAAACAGTCAAGGCAGAGACAGTGGACAATGATTAATTTTTACAATTCCTGGTGAGGACACTGTAAATAATTTAGAGTCACGCTATAATCAGTTTCCTGACCCTGGATCAGTGCCAGCTGCTCAGCCATGGACACCAGAACAGCTCCATTACCGCCTCTGTCAACAGCTCTAATAGGACCATAAAGACATGTTGTATCTGCTGCAGAGACATCTGTTAGATAACCACATCCAGATATAAAAAGGTCAGTTAGTCCAAAGCACTGAGGAGAAGGAGTCTCTCTGTGAGGACGTCCAGGTGGAGGCAGTTTGTTTTACTGTGTTTCCCCTCTGCAGCTGAACCAATGCTGGGCACTTCTACCAGTAGGTCTTCTGGAGATAAGGCTCTAATACATAAATATGTTTTTATCCTCTAAACATTCACCGCTCGCCTTGAAACATTTACTGTCTGTAAATTAGAAAATGTCAAAATTACAACAAGAAAGTGTAAAAAAACAAAGATAATTCTGCTGCTAAAGCCAGAATGTAACTCTTTTGTTTTATATGTATCAAAAGTTCAAATGAATGTTAAGAAAAATTCCCTCTTAATTTTTGAAGAACGTCCATCTTGTCCATGACTGCTAAAGGTGATGTGGTTGAACGCTCTGGAAAAGCCAGAAAGTGGGCTTTGATTTGGGATTTTTTTTTGTTTTATGAAATTACTATTTCCAAATTCAAGAGGCTCAATAACGAGGTATAAATCATTTTTGAAAAAATACATAAATAAATAATATAATAAATAGGTTTATTTTCAATTAAACAGATGTTTCTTACACTGAAAACATACACTTTGTGTGGTGTGAAATGCAGAAAAACAACTCTTGGTTGAGTTTCTTTGTTCATATCATGTCGTCATTCTGACTTAAATAATATGTACTATAAATATATACATACTGTTCATTTTAACATCCACGTTTATGTAACACAAACTCAAAGAAGTTTCTGAAATGACTGTATATCTGATCTGGTGTCTAATAGTGCCTGGAAAGTCAAACCACACTGACAAGAGCAATAACCTACAATCCTATGCTGTAGTTGTTTCCACATTTAGACTTGTGAACACTTTTATTTCCTGCTGTCACAATTCAGAATGTCCACTGTGAGATAACATGTTAGCATATGAAAAGATACATGTTGTATTCCTTACATTCATATTTAACTTCAGCTTTCAAGCTGTGTCTTGGCCTATAACAAACTGCTTTATGTAAATCATGTACTGCTGCACTTACACATGTATTATGTATCAATGTAAATATGTGCTAACAACACTATGTTTATGGTTGTGTATAAAATAAATGGGGTTTATATCAGAGTGAAATGCACAAACTCTGGGGGTTTATATTGTAAAAAAAGTACTAGAAAAACATGCTGTTGAATCTGCATTAGTTTCCATTTAAGGTGATGGTTTTTATTTTATGGGGAAATATTTTTGACATTATTTCAAAATAAATCTGATCTTTTTTAAAGACTTGGTAAATAATGTGTTTTATTGTGTGTTTCAGTGGATCTACAAGCCTGGAAATGTGACATTTCTGTCAGATATTTCTGTATTTCTATGTTTATACCAATAAATCCTGTTGAACTGTTCAGTCTCTGTTTCTCTCCCCTCCTTTTTCCCTCACTCTCTCCCCCTCCCTCCCTCCCTCCTTTATATACAAGCTGTTGGGTCCCTCTTCAGTGTCATTTCGCTGAGAGACGATTTGAATCAGAATACTTTTTCTCTCAGAGAATAACGGATCATCTGTGTTTGGTTTCTTGTTTTCTTTGTTTTGTTGTCAGCACCATGGACAGACTGGACGCTGCCGCCTTCCTACAGATCTGGGAACATTTTGACCTGGAAGGTATGAAGATGTTATGGCTCTGATGTCAATATGAGAGTCAGTTTTGTCAGTATATTCAGTCTAAAAACTGAGTAAATAATGTGTATTGTACCTGCAAATGTGTCTAGTTTAAGGTAAGATGAGCCTTTATTGATCCACAGCGGGGTGATTGAATTATTGGAGCAGCACAAAGACAGGATTGGTACAGATAAATAGAGGAAGTCAACAGAAAAAATAAATGGTACAAAAGACAAGAAAATACAAAAAATGAACAACAAATGGAGACATACATTGTAATATAATAGCGTCAGTGTATGTTGTTTGTTAGGTCTATGTTAACAGTGTACGCCATACCAATTGCATGTCTTCAAAATAATGTATTCATCCCAAGGGAATAGGAAATTGTGACAGATGCTCTATTTATAAAAAAAATTACATTTATATATTTAATATATTTTTAAATAAAGTTACTGTTTGTGTTGATTTAGATATTTTAATTAAATAGAATGCAATGCAAAAAAGGGAAACATATTAACATAATATAGTATTTCCTGTTAAATTATGATGAGCTATATAGGTATAGGAAAAAGTATGGTTATTATGTAATCTATGGTAGAGTAGAGAAATATAAGGGTAGAATGGAATAGAATACAATACAACAGGATAAGGCCCTTTTAACCTATAGTGCAATATTATTTTAATAGTTAAGACAATATTATTTTAAGTGATGATATTACAACAATCAAAATATATGTATATGTCCATTCAAATGCTCAACGTTTTACTCTGATATGTTGTTTCAACAGTTACTATTTAACTTTATCACTTTATTTTAAAAAAATGGTATCATTATTTAAATTTGTATTCTATTTGATCTTTATTACCTTGTGTGAATCCTGTGTTTCACTCTGACCCTGTTGCTGCTATAAACGCCTGAATTTCCCCACGGGGATAAATAAAGTCTTATCTTATTAACAGACAGCTGTTCGACCGCAATTTAAATGCAGGTAATTACAGATGACTCGATTATATGTACAAATGAAATTGATGAATTGATAATGTAGGTCATGTTCAAACATTTGTTAGATATATTTCACTAAAGTTTTATTTATTATTATTACTTGCCTTTAAAAAAAACAAGTATTGTACAACACATCTTTTATGATAGGTTTAGGGGAAATAAAGCTGTCAGGAACCAGAAATACTTTTTGTGATTTTAAGCAGCATCATTATTAACTTATCAAGAGTGGAAAGACAACAGAATTAATGAAATAATAATGATGTTGATGATTCTTTAAATAATTTTTCCTGACAATATCAGTGATAATCAGTTGGAAGCTCAAACATCCAGCTATACTGGAATGAAACCATAGCAGATAAACTTGCAAGCCAGAAACATATCAACACGAACACAAGACAAGGTTTAAGGTCTTCTGTCAATCTACACATGAGCAATTTTACACAACAAAAAAATAATAAAACAACTTTTCCTCCATTTTATCCAGTTGATTTTACAATATGAATGTTTCTTTTTTAAGATAACGGTTACATCGAAGGAAGGGAGCTGGACGCCTTCTTTCAACACATGCTGGAAACATTTGGATTGAAGGTAAAGAGATCACATATAAGGCTATGTGTTATCGTTTTACTACCCAATTGTTGATAGAAAATAATGAAATATAGTTATGAGTGACCATATAAAAACACCTTTAATTTTTCGATTTCATCTAGTTGGCCTTATATGATCAGCAAATATTTTAACTTATTCTCATGTTTATATAAAAATAAGATAGCTTTCAGCCTTTCATTTTTAAATGGATATCAATGAGCAACACTCTGCCACACTGTTTTATGTGATGCTACCACAAGGGGGCACCAAAGTAAGAAATGTCATAATGTGCACATCCCGGCTTTAGAAATATAGATTTACTAACCAAGTATCTACTTTGAAACATCCATTCATCATTCAGCTAATACATTTTAACAAATAACACACTATCTGAGTTCATTGGAAATCTCCATAAAGTCCATGTTGTTTTCAGAGAGAGGAGATAAATGAGGAGAAGATCATCAGACTGAGAGAAAGGTTCATGTCTGCGTATGACACCGCAGCTGACGGACGCCTGCAGATACAAGAGGTACACTCCCCCTTTGTTAGGGTACCTTTGTATTTAATACTGCGCGTACACTTTGCCGATTATACTTACAGTGTGTTGTTTTTTATGCTACTGCAATGCAAACATGTCCTAATTTGTGATCAATAAAGTACCTCTTATATTATTTTACTTACAGTAACATATTAAATGCAGGACTTTTGCTTGTAATGGAATAGTTTTACATTGTTAGTACTTTATCTCAAGTAAAGGATCTGAATACTTCTTCCACTCTTGCATCCAAACAGATTATCTGTCTTAAACACTTCTTTCAGGAGATAGAGTTTCCTGCAGTTTGAGATCAGCGATACAATAAATACAGCCAAAATGACCTCTACAGAATGAAAGGTTCAAGTGTTAGGGAAGATCTTTACCTGGAAAGAAAATCTGAAAATATAGTGAGGTTCAGTTGTTGGTGGACACACACAGTCTTACATTAAGCCATCCTGACAATTACAGGGTTCACCAGATCCTAGAGTGATTTGGATTTACATTCAAACTGATGTATCATGTAAAGCCTCTTCAGTTACAGTTGATGTGTTTTCCCCAGCTGGCCACCATTATGCTGCCAGAGGAGGAGAACTTCCTGCTTCTGTTCCGCAGAGAAACACCGCTGGACAACAGCGTGGAGTTCATGAGGGTGAGGGTCAAAGGTCAACATATGATACAGGTTCAACATATGTGAGGTGTATAAAAAGAGGAGAGGGGAAGCTCAGGAAATATAGAACAACACAACACAACACAGCATCTGATTTGAAAAAGAGCTGAAGAAGACATGATGAAAATAAACAGCCCTTTTCAGGTTTGGCTCTTTTATTAATACCTAAATCTAATAGTGATGCTGAATGGATGGTGACTGGTCGGTCAACCTTGGAAAACTTGTTAGATTTTGTTAATTATTTCTCCGTAGAAAGATTCTTAAAGTTGTTGATGACATTATCTCTCATTCCTTTCCAAAATCTCCACTTGTACAAAACAAATATTGTGATATGAAAGAGTTTAATAAACCTTTTGAGTTGTTAAACGCTTTTTCTATTTTTGGAAAAGCACCAACTACACAACAAACTCATTTTTATTTTAAAGAAACATAGAGAATTATAAGTGTATTTATGGTTTATATAGTGATGGTTGTAATTAACATTGCAGATGTTAGACTCAAACTTTAGCATATTTCATATTTGTTGCATTTTCAGTGATGTGTCTCTTGTGTGTAGATCTGGAGGAGCTATGACGCAGACAGCAGCGGCTACATCTCAGCCATCGAGCTCAAGGTATCTGATGAGTTCACACTAGTGTTAATTTCGTCAGCTATTTTTAATTTAGTTTTAGTCTTAGTCCTGTGTTAAATTTCCTTTTTAGTTTTAGTCATATTTAGTCACCTTCATCCTGTTTTTATTTAGTCAAGTTTTAGTCGACTGTTTTAAGTCTGAGCATTTTAGTCTTATTTTAGTCAAAGAAAACTAATTATTTAGTCTACTTTTTTACAATTAAAACTGTTGAGTCTTTTTTAGTCATCAGATTATATAGAACATTTCAGTCAAACTAGTCTAGCCAAAACCAATATTTGTCATTTTAGTATATATAAATAAATAAGGTTATATCTTGTCCTTATTTGATGAAAAACACAGGTTGAATGATTAAGAATGCAGCTTTGCAGAGAGTATCTGCTCAGGTTTGTGGTGTTTTTACCTGTGTTATGGCCACATTGATGCATTCGCTTTTTTTCTCGGCCTCATTGTAGCGAAAATGGGCACAATTTATCACATTGTTTCTTTCTCCCAAGCAGTGGTGGCTTTAGACTTTTTCGTTGTCAGTCATTTTGACGGACAGGATCGTAACATTTCCGTCATAATCCATTATTATCCATCGAGTACACAATTTATCCCTCACTCGCGCTGACGGGGGGGGGGGGGTCTTCGGTTAACGCGAGTGCGACCACTGCTCCCAAGCCCTGTTGTTGCCATTTTATTTTCTGTTAAATAAGGTTAGTTTAGACCATGAGTTAGAGCCGAGTCTTCCTGACAGTTCAGTGTGCCGCTGCCCGGTGTAATTCAAATGTACCGCAGCGCGCAGCACAGACACACAGCTGCTGCCCAGCCGCAGCACCGGAAATGGAACTGCTGGGAGAAAAACTGACTATCAGAGATGTAACGTTATCTTTGATAATATTTCGTCTCCTCATTTTTCGTCAACGAAAGTAAAGACAGATTTTGGCATAGTTTTTATTTAGTAAACTACATTTTCGTCTCGTCACTTTTCGTCAACGATATTGCATGATGATTTCGTTACAGTTATTGTTTACTGCCGTCGGTGCCGTCTCGTCATCGTCTCGTTTTCGTCATGGAAAAAAATGGTCGTTGACGAACATATTTCGTCATAGTTTTAGTCAACGAAATTAACACTAGTTCACACGTGCTGCAGCATGCACCTAATCCAGTCTGTGGTTAGATCACAGAGCTGATCTGGAAATGTGTGACTATTGATTTATACTGTAGTCAGATCTTTAAAATATAAATGCAGCGTTGATGTTTTATCTTTACTCAATTAAATATCAATTGAATGTAAAATTAGAATATATATGAGCATTATATATATCCTTTATTTAACCAGGTAAAAGTCTCATTGAGATTCAAATCTATTTTCCAAGAGCGACCTGGCCAAGAGGGCAGCATGAACAAAGTTACAACAGATAAAACACAGACAATACACGCAGACGAATACAGCGGTCGTAAAACACAGATGAAATGGCACATTAACCAGTAAACATGCAAGTTAAAGAAACTATTATAAATCATTAAAAACTGGCACAATTTAAAACGACTTCAATTATGGGATATACAGTACGAGCAATCACAATGCCCAATAGATTTGTGTTCTCTGTCCTTTAAGATGGACTTGAACTCCCCCATAGTGATACAATCTGAGAGTTTCAGCTCCCTCCGCAAAATGAGGCCCCATCCGCGAGGGGTCTGCGTGATCTGCGTGTAGGGAGGCGCGGCCCTGTATATATAATAACGTCATATTAAATGCATTAATTTGGTCTTTAACAACAGCTTGTGAGAGCAGTGCATTCATCGGTGTTCGTTTGAATGCTGCCAGTTTGTTGACGGCCTGTGTGTTGATGGGACTTCTCATGCTCCCTAAATGTTTCCCCTGCCTTTCGCCAGTTCTTAAACCCTGCTTTCACAAAACTCCCATCCCTGATCTTGTCAGCACTGACAAGCTTCTTTTCTATAGCAGAGCAACAGAAGAAGCACACCGCATTATCACTTTCTCTTATATAGTGAAGCTTTTTTATAGACTGCTTACACTAAAATGCTAACTCAAAAATAGTAACTCAAAATAAAACTTTTGTATTGATTTGTTTAGTGAACATTTTGGCATTGCAGTTACAATTCTTCGTCAACTGATGGGGATGCTGCAGCCCCCTCCGCACCCCCCCCCCCCCTTCCCGCATCCCTGTTGGGAGCGCAGGCCATATAGACTTTGTTTTTTACACATATATGTGCAAATATAAGAGGGAACCAGCCCAAGCAGAGATTTTATATAAAACCCAACCAATGGGAAAGTCTGCGTGCAGACAAATATGGCCAATTAGCAGCAGCATACAAAGTGCAGTGGTGTACAGTACAAGATATCCACATCCAGTAACAAAACGTAATGCACAATGGTACACAGTATAAGATAAGATAAGATAGTACTTTGTTGATCCCAATTTGGAAAATGTTTGCGTTGCAGCAGCATAAAAAGACATAGCAGCAGTATCCAAACTCATTATATGTATATACTGTATGTTGTAGTTTCCTTTTTATGTGTTTTTTTGTGTTAAATATTTAGTTGTATTGCATTTTCAGAATTTTCTTTAAATAAGAAGGCACCTTGGTGTGAATTTTTCAAGTGCACCTCTATTAGTTTGTTCACTGAAATACTTGAGAAGTCAAAATGTCCCTAAAGAAAAACGTAATACATAAACAAAAATAAATACAAAAGTTCTATATTTGAGACAATTAAAGAGTTTTAGTAAGTGGATTTAGCGGCAACATTTAATACATCATCCTGCTAGCGCCTAAAAAAGCAGTAAATTAGGTTATTGGTGTTATGTTATATTGCTCTAAATTGTAATTAAGCTTTCTTCAGACAATAGGTATTGTAGGGTTATCATATGTCACTCTGTCTCAAGAGATTTGCCACTAATGACCACTGACAATGTGTGAGCATTGAACTTCACTGTTACATTGCTGGTGACTGTGAGAGGACGCTGGCACGGTCTGTTGTCGCTTCTCCCTCGTAGCCTCTTTTAGCTATTTTTTAGCAAGGATTCTATTGCTTTTTGTTGTTGCACGGATTCAATGGATGCTTATACCAACTATAACCAGACAATATTCCACTGTCCTGCAAATCCCTCGTCGGCTGGACGAGCTACTAACGTTTAAGCTACGAGTGGCTACTAAGGTTGAGCTACGAGTGGCTACTAAGGTTAGCCGCTACGCCAGCAGTGACACCAAGCGGCAAACTCTGGGGAACAGTCGGGACGCCAATACGGAAGTGCCACACACTGCAGTTCATACATGGGCCGCTAGGAACTGGCTGCAGAAAGGAGCAATTTTCCATAGACCCCCATGTTAAAATGCCCAACTTTACAGCAGAAAAAAACATGTTTCTACCCATGGATGCAATAAATATTATTATCGATATAGTTAGATTCCACCTTCATGATTATGAATCTGTGAGTGAATTGTTTTCTAACACGACCCTTTTATTTATATTAGGTCTTAAAGTTTTTGCATAAATTAGGGCGTGGTCACTTTGATGGACACGTACATGCCTCACTGTCAGCTAACAGCAACTTGTCCACTCTGCTAGGCTACAACCATAGAGGCTACAACGTTAGTTAGTCATAGTACTGTACTTGACCCTTGAGCTTTAGCCGTGTTCGTGGTGATTGTGCCTTTTAGGGAATATTGTTACAAATACCAGACAATTCAAATGTCGTGCTGTGCGCTTGAATGTACTAACAGAACTTCCAAGAAGTCTAAAATGATAATATTATACATATTAACCCCGTTCGCAGGTGTTTGTGTGCTTGGTAGCTTAGCTTGTTACTTATTAGCCAGCTAAGGACGTAACCCTTTATACATATACATTTTAGTTTATGATTCAGCCTTGGGTAAGACTTTTATAGTCTATGGCTATGACGCCCATAATGCTAAACGGGAGCAAATGTTAATAGGGGACCAGATTATCCCAGCGGTGGCTGCCGGAGCTAACGGAGCCGCAGGGGGCTAGCTCCAGCCGGCGTCCCGGAGCTAGCCCACTGCGGCTCCGTTAGGTCCGGGCGGTGGAGTCCGTCTTTTCTCAACGTGTGAATGACAAGCATTAAGAATAACAAAATATAGCTAATTCTCTTGTAGATTGTCTCATTTGATTATGAATGTAACGTTTATATAGGGGAACTACACTGTTAGCAGTAACTTGGTATGCGTGTATTTCATGTTAGGCTAGCTTCTTAGCCTGAGCTAGCTCTGTTTACTTCCAGTTCGGAGGCAGCAGGTCCCGCCTCGGCTCTGCCTCTTTGCCCTTATTTGGAGCAGGCGGGATTAGACTCTGACGTCACAGTCGAGCCGTTAGTGGCCGACTCCGCCTACTAAGGGCTTCACGGCAACTCTGCAGAATCCTATGGGTGACGTCACGGACACTACGTCCATTTATATATACAGTCTATGAGTGACACCTACCAAAAACAATTCCAGCTCAACTTCTCCACCCAGCTCGATCATCTGCCATGCTGTGGATCGTTCTGTGTTTCTGGCTCTTTCCCCATCTCTGGTCGGCAGGTCCGTGGCAAACACAAACAGCTAGCAACTCTGCATCTGTCCTGACCGGCATGAAGCTAAAGTACTCAGTACTAAAGTACGCAGCTGCTCGAGTTAAGACATTACAGCACTCTAAACTGTATCTCAGCACTTGGAATTCTATGCCGACGCCGCTACATCCACAGAAGCTCCCGTAGAGAGTTTGTTTATTCCTAATCTGGAGACTCCATTCCATCACTCTGGTCAACTGAGCGCACTGTCGCACTATTACCACGTCATCCGACTACCGCCGCTCCTGGAACTAGTAGTAGCTCTGGAAACACCGCGAGACTTCTACACACCAAGCGGGGCAGAAAACGTGGAGTGGATTTCAGTCTACTACTTCCTCTACAAACCACCGTTTCATCAAGCCTCAAAATAGAACTATTTAACACACAATCGCTCACTAATAAATCATG